ACAGTACACAGAGTATACAGTACAGTATATACAGTACACAGAGTATATACTGTACTGTACACAGAACTTTCCCACTGATATCCACCATATAAGATACTTTTTGTGTATATTTAGTATATTTAGTTCTCCTCCTTCAGTCTAATAACTCAGTCATTAGTGGACCTGGTTCTCCTCCTTCAGTCTAATAACTCAGTCATTAGTGGACCTGGTTCTCCTCCTTCAGTCTAATAACTCAGACATTAGTGGACCTGGTTCTCCTCCTTCAGTCTAATAACTCAGACATTAGTGGACCTGGTTCTCCTCCTTCAGTCTAATAACTCAGACACTAGTGGACCTGGTTCTCCTCCTTCAGTCTGATCCGGTGTGGTACCTGAAAGGTCTGGTAGCTCATGACGGTGCCGTAGCGACAGTACATGACGTAGTGTTCACAGTTGTACCACAGCAGGCTGTAGGTCACGTGACCCTGAAGCTTCTCCGCCCTCCTCGCCACCTCCTCTCGCTGCAGCGCCGGGCGGCTGCACACCTGTGGAGGACAGGTAACCTGATTACTGTACGAGCACTACTGCTACTGGCACTACGGTATATACTCAGGTACTGTACCGAAGAACAAAGTACTTTCTGACAATATACTTCTACTTCATAACATCTCAGACACAAATATTGTACCTTTTACGTCGCTACATTTATTTGACACTTTTTGCATTTAAAAACATGATACATTGCAGTTCGTTAGTTTGTTAGAACCGTAGTCCAAGAGTTCATAAGTTCATAAGTCAGTTAGTTTGCTTGATTTGATACATTTTTTCCCAGAATTTACTTCCATAAACTTTGAGTGAAACTTGACATGTTTCCTCTCTCACCTCGTCCAAAGTGTTCACGAAGATCTGAGCTCCGAAAGCGAAGTCCTCCAGCGAGTCCACCCTCACAGAGCCCCTCTGAGGACCAAGAGCCAGTTATCACAGTTAGACCTGAGTCTACTCCTTTAGACCTGAGTCTAGTCCTTTAGTCCTGAGTCTACTCCTTTAGACCTGAGTCTAGTCCTTTAGACCTGAGCCTACTCCTTTAGACCTGAGTCTACTCCTTTAGACCTGAGTCTAGTCCTTTAGACCTGAGCCTACTCCTTTAGACCTGAGTCTAGTCCTTTAGACCTGAGTCTACTCCTTTAGACCTGAGTCTAGTCCTTTAGTCCTGAGTCTAGTCCTTTAGTCACCTCCTCATGGACTCAATGTTACCAACAGTGGTTGGTTTAGTTTAGTTTAGCTTAGTTTAGCTTAGTTTAGTTTAGCTTAGTTTAGCTTAGTTTAGCTTAGTTTAGTTTAGTTTAGTTTAGTTTAGCTTAGTTTAGTTTAGTTTAGTTTAGTTTAGTTTAGTTTAGCTTAGTTTAGTTTAGTTTAGCTTAGTTTAGTTTAGTTTAGCTTAGTTTAGCTTAGTTTAGTTTAGTTTAGTTTAGCTTAGTTTAGCTTAGTTTAGTTTAGTTTAGTTTAGCTTAGCTTAGTTTAGCTTAGTTTAGTTTAGCTTAGTTTAGCTTAGTTTAGTTTAGTTTAGTTTAGTTTAGCTTAGTTTAGTTTAGTTTAGTTTAGTTTAGTTTAGTTTAGCTTAGTTTAGTTTAGTTTAGCTTAGTTTAGTTTAGTTTAGCTTAGTTTAGCTTAGTTTAGTTTAGTTTAGTTTAGCTTAGTTTAGTTTAGTTTAGTTTAGTTTAGCTTAGTTTAGTTTAGTTTAGCTTAGTTTAGTTTAGCTGAGTTTAGTTTAGTTTAGCTTAGTTTAGCTTAGTTTAGTTTAGTTTAGTTAATTTAGTTTAGCTTAGTTTAGTTTAGCTTAGTTTAGTTTAGTTTAGCTTAGTTTAGCTTAGTTTAGTTTAGTTTAGCTTAGTTTAGTTTAGTTTAGTTTAGCTTAGTTTAGCTTAGTTTAGTTTAGTTTAGCTTAGTTTAGTTTAGTCACCATGTTAGTGCGTTCTCTCAGTTTATTAGTTTGTTCATTCGTTGTGAACAGATCAGGAACATCACCAGCATTTCATATTCATAACAAACATTCAGATTTCTTTCTTAGATTTTTTTATTTCCTTCATGAAACTTCTGAAAATATGAAAAAACTGAACTTTTTTGACGATGACGCCTTCAGATTTATCCTTTAGAATAGTGATTCCTCTCTCATGTGTCTTCTTTACAGGATCTCAGTCCAGAAACACTTTGACTGAATGAGCTGAACCCAGAGAGGCAAGGATGCTGCTCTAGAAGGTATTTGTTCTGCTCTTTAGTGCGTTATGCTGACACAAGTGTTTATGTAAATATGAATGAATGTTTCTTCACTCAGTGAGGTCCAGTGGACTCTGGACTCTGTGGACTCTGGACTCTGGACTCTGTGGACTCTGGACTCTGGACTCTGGACTCTGTGGACTCTGGACTCTGGACTCTGTGGACTCTGGACTCTGAACTCTGTGGATGTGGACGGGCGCTCTGGTACCTTGGCCAGGACTCCCAGCAGCAGCCTGCTGTCGGTCACCATCCGTCCGATTCTGCACTGATCACTGGAGACGACGGGCATGATGTCTGGGATGAAGTGAGCGACTCTGGAGAGAGCAAAGGAAAGGAGACGACAAAGGAGACAGTGAAGGAAGGAAAGGAAGTAGGAAAGGAAAGGAGAGAGGTCATGAAAGGAAAGGAGAAGAAATGAAAGGAGAGAGGAAAGGAAAGGAAAAGACATAGGCGAGAGTATAGAAAAGGAAAGGAAAGAAAAGGAGACAGAACAAGGGAAGGGACAGGAAAAGAAAGGAGACATAGGAGAGAGTGGAGGAAAGGAAAGAAAAGGAAAGGGAAGGAACGAGGTCACAAAGGAAGGAGGAAAAGAAAATATGTGATTAGGACAGAGGAGAGGGGAGGAAAGGAAAGAGGTAATATAGGACAGGAAAGGACAAGGAAAGAGGAGAGGAAAGGAAAGAACATAAGAGAGAGTTAATGAAAAGAAAGGAAACGAAGGAAAGGAAAAAGAGTGGTGTCATCAGGATGGAGGAAAGGAAAGGACAGAACAGAGGAAAGGAAAAGAAACAGGCGAACTCTCACCTGTCTCCCCCCAAATAAATCCCAAAATGTGTGAACAGAGTCCTGGGGACCTGCAGCAGGTCTCCCCTCCTGAGAGACAGCTTCCTGTCCTTCCTCCCCCCCGACCGTCCGTCCTCGTCCTCCTCCTCCTCCTCCCTCAGCCTCTTCCCGTCTCTCGGGTCGGGTCTCTGTGTGGAGATGAAGAGCAGAGCGAGCAGCTGCAGAGGGAACATGGTGAGAGGAAGAAGAAGAAGAAGAAGAAGAAGAAGGAGAAGAAGAAGGAAGCCGACTCCTTATAGGTGGTTCTGTTCTCGGGGGGGGGGGATTAGTGCGAGTATAAAGATGTTAATTTTATGAGTTTAATGAAATGTAACTAAGTACATTTACTCAAGTACAGTACTTGAGTATAATTTTGAAGTAGATGTACTATACTGGAGTATTCTCTCTTGTACTACATTTAAAAGGAGAATATTGTAGTTTTTACTTCACTACTTCAGCTTCAGTTACTTTCACTTTTCATGCACAATTTATGAAATATAGAAATGTATTATATGATTATATATTTCAGCATAAATAATCTCAAAATCAGAAGCTCTTCTTGTCATACTTTAATCCTGCTAATCAATAATAAAACAATAATGTGTTATTGTCTAACGGCAGGAAGAAACAGGAAGCAGTCAGAACTCGTTGGACTCAGTGAAATCACATAAACCCTCAGAACAATAGAACAATAGAACAATAGAGCTGCTTCAGCATCCAGATTATTGTAATTAAGCAACATTATGCGACCATTTCTCAATTATTTCACACTCTGTTTCCCAACAGCAGCAACACAGAGAGGGAAACACACTGTTACACTCTGAAGCAATACCTGGGGCCGTGAGCGAGGAGCTGGGGGGGGGGGGGGTATATGGGAGGATAGATCTGGGAGGACGGAGGTGGGGAGATGGAACTAGGAGGGAATTTGGGATAATGGAGATGGGAGGATTGAAGTGGGAGGTGGGAGCTCGGGCGTAGGAGGCTAAAGAGAGTGACACTGACCTCTACTGGAGGTGTTGATGTTGCTGTAGTTCCACCAGTCGGCCAGCAGAGGGAGATAAAGGTCAAAGATCACTGGACGTCCTGAACGAGTAGATCAGACGAAGCATTTAAATTAAAATAGATTTTCACTTTTCAACACAAACAAGCTCATAATTTCATCAAAACGAAGGAAAAGTTTTGAAGAATTAATAGTTTAATTTCCAGAGAAAATATGAAAGTAGACAAAAAAGAAGAAATTCAAAACAAGCTCCACATTCTAACAATATTCATGCCGATGCTTTTATGCACCGATGATGAATTCAATTCAGTCGACCAAAGGAAATCACCAGAAACTTGAAGAATCCAAAGAGTCCACCGACTTTATTTACATAAACACATATAAAGTGTTACAGCGTCGTAAAAAATAAATTCTGTTCAGAACATTTTGACTGTTAGAGAAACAATCAGGTTGTGAAGAATATGTACAGATATTTACAAGAAGAGCTTCAGCAGAGGGGCTGACGTGGAACTACAGTCAAGATGGCCGACGTGGAACTGCAGTCAAGATGGCCATCGTGGAACTACAATCAAGATGGCCGACGCAGAGTTACAGTTTCACTGTGAATGTGTAACAAGTGTTTTGTGATCGTTCCTGATTTGGAAGTAGTACAACAAACAACAACAAAAGCAGTTAGAAATCTGGTAAACTGACTTTAAGTTAAACTCAAAAATATTTTATAGCCGAGCTGGAAAAATAACCAGTTTTCCTCCTTTTCCACATTAAAATGTCCAAAAACTAGATTTATGTATGTTGTTCAGGTGTGTACTTACATCATCCCAAATTTTAACAACAATTTTCAAACCAGACATCGTATTATTTTAATTAATATTTCAATGTAACGTTCGGAGAAACACAGATTTGTAACCTCCTTTAAGACCTTGTAATGGAAGAGGCTGACCGCAATGAAGACTACAACTCCCATGATCCCCGGCTGCTTCACCGCGTCACCAAAACTCTTTGGATTGAGAGACTCCTAACTGGCAGAAAATGACATGTTGCTATTAAGCTCTGGTTGAAAAACAAGAACAAGTTCTTCATTATATTCGCAAATAAAAATATGATTTTGTCAAAGCTACTATTTTAAAATATTTATAATATCTACGTCTTCAGTAGGAATTGAGATGTTGAAAAATATAAAATTGGAAGACAATAAAACATTTCCTCAATGACACTTTCAAAATAAAAGCTTCAGCTTCAGTAAAACAGATGAGCTCTTAAATGATCTTTGGTCTCTTTGTTGCTGAGCGCTCAAAACAACATCTGTCAATCAAACAGTTTTAGTCTTTCAGGCCATTTAAATATCTTTTTTTATTGTTTGCTAATGTTGCTCATGCTAACTTCCCTGTTCTTCTTCTGTTAAGAAAATGTAAAAAAAAATGCATCACTTCTGGTTGCAGCACCTACGAGAGTCCTCGTTAACGTTATTAGCACAGAGTTTGACGGTCAACTTCTTTGCAGACGACTACTTCCTGTCTGTCAGTGTTCCAACATGGCGGCTCAAACACGGACGGGTGAACATGAACGTGGTTCCTGGAGCTCCTAGCTGGCCATCCACAGGGTGAAGGGGACGAGGAGGGTCGGCAGGGCGGTGCTGAAAGACATCCCCAAACACGCCACGGACAGGAGACCCAGCAGCGCCGTCAGGACCACGCTACGCTGATCCCGGATCAGAGACTTCAGCCACTCACAGAACTGAAAGAAGGGGGAATAATATTAATATATATAAAGCAATATTTAAAAGTGGGAATAGAAGGACATCGTTAGTAGAAGAAGCAGCAGGTTTCTGTGTATGTGATGACTTCTGACATCTAAAGATGGATTACATATATATTATGGTATCGATTTTTATATTTGATTGATGGTTCAGTCTCTAAAGGGTCCAGGTGACGTCTTCAAACGTCTTGTTTTGTTCGACCAAAGGTCTCGAACACAAAGACATTCTGTTAACTGTCAAATAAAAACAGGAAATCTGCAAATCCTCAAATTAGAGAATCTTGGCCGGACTGTAATTTAGCTTGATGGACCACTTGAACACTTACATCGATAATCGATATTGTTGCCAAATATAGTGGTCGTAATATGACGAGTTACAAATTTGTAGTGATGTGAGGAATAATTGGAAAGCTGCGAAGCTTCATTGATAGCGTTCACAGTTGAATTCTAATCAACATGTGAATGCTGCAAAGCTTTCTTTCATGTCCATTCATTGTGTTTCAATTTCTCCTTGTATCAAATATTCACTTCTCTCTCTGAGCAAACTTCTAGTGAAAGAATCAAGAATATAAATGACCTGTTGTTTATTTTACTGTGGGGGCCCCCTGAGGCCCCTGGGAGAGCTCCTGTTGGCCCCCCATTAAGAAGCAGACTGCCAGACTGCAGGCAGGTTAAGATGTTTAGGTTAGCAATTACAGGAAGTGAAACTCGATCGGGGAAAACTCTCTCTGCTGCAGGACGGTGGAGCAGAGTCTGAACGGACAAACAGGCCACGCCCCCCCCCCTCCACCACACACACACACACACACACACACACACACGTTTTTATACTAAAATACACCAAACGTGACTTGAATCAAACATCCAACTGTTAGTGTTTTAATGCCATGTTCTGCTTTTAAAACATCACGGTAGCAATAAGAAAGAGAACTGTTTGCATTACTTAGCATATTAAAGTTATAATTTATGCTTTTGTATTTTTCTCTTTAAAAAAACATTTATTGTCTTTACTTTCTGTATTCAACTCTCTGCATAACTGTCAGTGGCGGAGTCCGCCACTCCCGCTCTTACGGCCTAAACAAGAAGGGCGATCGATATCAGAGCTGGATTAAGTAAATAAAAAAAGGTCCGGACGAACATTCTATAAACCAGAGCAGCCTAAAGAGACCTGAATGAGATGAGAGGCCTCCTCCTTCATCATCATCATCATCATCAGTCTGACTCTGGTTTCTGCAGACGGCTCCGGTCTGAATGCAGCTCTTGTTCTCAGGACTTTTTCCAAAGAGCGACCCACATTTTCCTCTCGTTTAAAAAGAAGAAGAAAAACAACTCAGAAGCTGACGAGGAAGTTGAGCTTTTACACCTGAGAACTTAAATCTTCATGTGAAAACACATCACACCTCCGCTTATAGAAACATCTGTTGACTTTTAGGGACATTTCATCATATTTTGAACTCATAGGATGGAGGAGGACAGATTTGTTTTGAGACATGAGACACTTTGTCTCATGTTGTTCTGCACATTTGACTGTAAACGTGTGCTTTTACTCGTTTTTATTTCTTTATTATCTGATGTTTTGGTGTATTTTTGACGTAATGTTTTCATTCTGTTTGCACAAACAGCCCCCAT